TTGTGTTGGTGTTCAAAATGGTGGGTAGCGAGTACTGTAGGATTTTCAGGGTTTTTTGCAATCATAGATGTTGCTTTTCTCTCTTGTCCACATATTGGGATGTAAGACCGATGTAAGTTGCCGGACGGTTTAAACAGTTGATCTTGTAGATTACGTCAGATTTATTTGTTATTGGTGTGGGATCTTTAATTTTGGAAGAAAGTGTTTGGATTGTTTTATAATTTCTGAAAGCTATTTTGAAGTTATCGGACTAGAGAAATGTGTTTAATTGATGTGATAGGCCTTGAATAAATGGCATGAAATATATGCATTGTATAAATTCACTTTTCCACATCCTAAATGTATTTGTTAAATGTAAACAATGTTTGTATATCCCAGGCCCTGAAGATGATCTCAATAAAGATCGAAACGTTGGCACGTTAAAGAAAATGTTTTTCTGAAACCTCCATCACACCAGACCGCATCTCACGATTTCTGAATAATTTTGTATAATGTTGATATAATATAATTTACTTGTAAATAGATCTATAGACAGAAAATGTTTGTCTATTACTAATTCTTCGTGATTAGAGGACTATGTAATTTATTAGTATAAATGAAGGGACTTATTCATAATATATCGAGTACTCTGTACAGTAGTGTGATGGAATTGTAGTAAGTGAATATAATTTAGTATGAATGAAAAGGCTTATCCAAAATTACCACCAGAGATATCTCGATTACTCAGGGGTAGTGGGAAAAAAGACTGGTATGGGAATGTAATTTATTAAAACTTATCCTGCACTACATCGAGGAATATCGAGTAGGTACTCAGACGGTAGTGTAAATGAATTGTGAAAATGTAATTTATTAGCGCGAATGGGGGTTTATCACATATCACTCCAAGGAATGACACGTACTCCAGGGTAATGTGAATATGTACATCTTGTTACGTTGTATTTCTATTTATGTTTGTTCAATTGACGAGGCCTTAAGGTATAGAGAGACTGGCAATAAGATAAATGAAATAGAAAGTTTTTACTGTTATAATTTGGTTTGAACATAACATAGCAGGGGAAAGAGGAAAATAAATTATTAGGGTTAAGTCGCGACAAAACAGGAAAATAATAGCAAAGGAAGAGATGGGTGGCAGTGCCCAATGTATTGTAGTTTTTTTGCCCGAAATCTAACTTTATACAATTCTTACATTTACAACTATGAAAATAAAACGTGATGAAGATTGGCTTATTTCTCTCTCTTGTAATGACACGCAAAGTAAACTTTGTTGAATTAATCTGAAAGAAGGGACCTCAACTTCGAATGTTGTAATAACGGCGAATGTTGATAAAATCGAGATATGTTAAGAATTGCAAAGTGGAGCATGTACATCGTCGAGAAAAAACGTTTCCCAAGGAGAATCTAGCCAAAAATGTTTATTTTATTGCTATAAAAATTCCTACCTAGCGGTTTTAAAGGGTGCTTAATATGAATCCGCCTTTTTTCTAATAAAAATGTTTTTGGTCTATTTTATGCTCAACCTGTTTTGGGTTCTCTAGTTTTTTATGTCTTGTCTCGCTTTTACCATACCAACCTGCAAATTGGGGGACCGCGGTAGCCGAGTGGTTAGCATGAGGGACTCTCACGCCGCGGTCGTGGGTTCGATTCCGACCGTCGCCTCTGGCCCTTTTTTCCCGATAACCCCCAATTTGAACACACAAGAATTCGTACCATGGCTAATATGCAAGATCATAAGGCAAAAAAAAAACCTGCAAATTATTTTCTTATCCTACTTGAAACATCGAAGCGAACTATGTATAATAACTTGAAATACTCACAGAACAAAAGAAGAATACTATACTAAAAAATATATAAATTATATAAAAATTGTATAAATTACGTTTTTTTTTTCTCTCGGCTCATAGAGCCCATCTACAAGAAGGCTCGGTCATGTGTAAATATTTTTGGACTAATATCACCTAAAAAGATTATGTGGAGATCGTGAGATGCAAATATATGTTGGATATGAAAAAATGAATTTATACAATGATAGAAATTTTAGACTCAGTCAATTATTTGTACTCACGCAGTGTTTGATTGAGTGTAAAATTTCAATCATTCTATAAATAAATTTTTTAATATCCTATTTGTATTTGTACAATATAAACAATGTTTATAAATCCCAGGCCCTGAAGATGATCTCGATCCAAAAGTTGGCACGATAAAGAAAATATTTTTCTAAAGCTACGTCTCACGAAACCGCATCTCACGAATTCCAAATAATCATTAATTAACTGTCACTAAACACCACATATTTCACCCAAAAAGTTTAATTCACATCTACGTCGGTATGGAAAAAGTTAGCAAAAATACTTGTGAGTATGGCAGATGTTAGGTTTGCCAGTCCTAGTCCGTCTTCTGGCATGTTTATACGTCCATTAAAGTCGAGGTAGTTCGCAACTAGTTTTGTATACATGTTCATATGAAAGGAATAACGAAGGCTAGGCACAACATCATTCGGTACAATCCCCGGTGCGGATCAAGAGGACGTTCCTCTTTCAAGAAAATTTTGATCTTCCGGCCCAGGGATTTTCGGCGACATCACAGGGTTGGTAGACAGGCTGGTAATCGCAGCCCCATTAGGGACCCATTCCTTCGGCACCGTTCCTCTGACTTATTACTTCCACCTCCACTTCAAAAGCGGTCCCACCCTCCATCTGCGCCCTGCTCCCTCCGGCCGATAAAAAATATATTGTGTTGACACTTGTAATTTACGGCCAGGAGCGGAATTTCTGTTATATTTTCGTACTGAACCCAACTGGAGGCCGTCCGGCTTGAACATTTCTCAAAATCGAAAATTTCGATCGCCACAACGGGTTATGCTGTTTGGTTCTTTTAGGTCATATTGACAAGCCAATCTCGCTGTATATGCAAATATATTGATGTCACCGGTTCTCTGGTCATAAAGATATTATTCTCCATAATAAACTGCCTGTCAAAAGAAATCCATCTGGTTTTTGCACGAAAAAACAAACGGCCAACCTTGCAAATTGAAATTGGAAATTAAAATGACCTGCGCTAGGTCTCTTTTAGAAAATTGTACGCTGAACTAAATGGCCTTTTTAAATGTTTTTCTAGCTTCAGTCACCCAAATTTAAAAATTTGGAAATATGTTAATTTTTGCACTTTTTAAGAAACTTCAAATTGAACTGTGGCTCTGTCCTGGAGCTATAGAGCTACCGGCAGACAATTTTAATAAGCTTTCAATTGGTCACTTTCCACTAAGCCAAATTTTTCAACCGTTTTCGAGTATTTCGCGAGTTTCGGACAAAAAATGTGGTCTTTTTACGAGCTTACAGAAAAACCGATCATTCTCTCTCGTTGTCTGTCTGGGCTGTGACTTAAAAGGCTGAGAAAATATGTATTTCCAAAGTTTGCCATATATATATGTATAATTTTATTATTAATATTTTTTATGGGCAGTGTATATTATTGAATTAAAGATCAAGGCAACTTGATGTAATTTATTAGCGCGCATGTAGGGGTTTATCACATATTACCCAAAGGAATAACACGTACTCCAGGGTAGTGCGAATTCTAACCATATGTATATTTATGTTTGTACAATTGATGCTTGAGGTATAGGGAGACCGTCACAAGATTGAAAATGTTTGTCGGACAAGGGAACATAAAAGATTAATTGCAAATGAGTAAGAAGAAAGGAAATTTTGTTCATTGCAACCCTTCGTCACAAATCCTAAGCTCGGGGGAGGAAGCGATTGACCTGTACAAAGTAATAAGTTGATGGATGACCAACTATCGCCTGTAAATCGCCTTCCGATTAGAATATAAAGTTTAAACTTGAACGAACTTAAACTTTTCCTTCCACAATTGCTTGTTTCTGACTATAGACACTAAACTGAAAGCTTCATAAACTTACTAGCTTTTACTTCAAAGTTTTTATTTAATCTTTGTGTAACGTAATTGCAATTTCTCTGCTGATAAGAACTATCAACTTATAGATTCCTACCATCTATTTACTGTAAGGCTTAATCAAAAGGTTAATTTGAAACTAAAAAAAAGGCAATTTGAAATTAAAAAGGTTAATTTATATTTGCAAAGGGTTAATTTGATGGAAAAGGTATATATTATTATATTGTATCGTATAAAATATTTGAAAAATATTCTTCTTTCTTGTTTTGTATGTGTCTATCGGTGATGTTCATAAAAAATGTATGTTTTGGAATAGGCTTATCTTTAAAAATTGTTCATCATGTAAGGCTAGACTGCTCGGAGCCTAAACGAGTACAGCTTCTTCAGGGGTCCCTTTAACAACATATATCTCGCCCCACATTCCAAACGTGACTGAACTTGGGAGAATCATTGATAAATTGGGCTTATTTCTAATGAAACATTCGTTGATAGTGCCATAGGACTGTCTTACATAGGTAATGCTCAGTTAATAAATTAACGTCTAGCTATTTTATATGTATTGAAATCTTTTTAAAAAAAAACAAAAAAAACAAACAACAATAAAATAATATGACAATAATAATAACACGAGTTTACTTTTGTTTAACATTATTTCTTTAAAATGTTACAAGTGACGTTTTTGACCAAAATTATTTGGTCAGATTTGACAGATATCTAACAGAAATCATGACATGAACTATAAACTGTTGTTATTCTGTTATTAAGATAAGACTAAGAACACAAATTCTTATACAAAAATTAATTAATATGCAAATAGCTTACGAAACATATTTAAAACCGTGATCGATGTAAAATCAGTTTGGTTTCTTGTTTACAGATTTTATTTATTAATTATAAAAAAGATTTATCTTACGATCCTTAATACATAATATATTACATATTTTATTGTTTATAAAATACATATAAAAATAAAATATTTAAGGTATAAACAACAAATACGACCTTACAGTTCATACTTACTTAAACATTAATCAACAAATAAAAACTAATAGATGCTAACATTTGGCCAACTATTTTCAAAATGAAGTGAATACAAAATTATTTATTTCCGTATGCGGTAGTCCAGCTCCCAATAGTTTTTGTAACTTTTGGGCTTATTGGGCGTTTTTCGAGTTGACTTTGGCTTACTGCGGCTGAGGTAACCTTGAACCTTTTTGAAAATGTTATCAACCTCTTCTTTGCTTTTGGCGACTTGGGGGAAAAGTGTTTTGGTCGGCCTTTTAGGCCTTGTGTCGAGGAACACGTCCCGAGCTATATCCGCGTCGTCGTAAGTCTTGTAAATGTCCTCGAGTTCTTTGGTCGTCAATTCTTCCGGGTTGAAGTACTCCTCTTCTTCAGAAGATGTCATTTCCTTGTTGTTCTTCGATGGAATCTTAACGTGGTGGTAGTGCTTGTGCTTGCCTGACTGCTGTCTGTACACTTTGACCGGTCCGTCGCTGTCGTAAGTCGTCTGGCTCACTCCTTTCGGCCTGTAGTGCGTTTCTTTTAAGCCATCGTAGTAATGATGGTGATGGTGATCGCCGTTTGGTTCCGTTTTGTGGCTCATTGTCATCTGACTCGTCGATGTTGCCCCACCCGGGTAATGCCTGTTACCTTTGTAATACTGGGCTGGTCGTTTGGGCTTGCCCTGACTGAATACGACCGGGCGGCCTGAATGTAAACCGGAAGAAGATTTACCCTTGCCCTTGATGGTATATGCAGGTTGGTATTGTTTTTGCGGCGATCGAGTGGCTTCCGTCTCTTTATTGTATCCATGGATATCGTACGTGTCTCTCTCCGAGGAGTCGTAATCTTGATTTCTGGGGTTTTTACCGTGATCATACTGATCGTAATAATCGTCAGTAGGTTTTGATTTAGGCGAATGATCGTAATCCCCTTCGTAATCGTCGTAATAATCAGCGGCCTGTCTCTTTCTCCTGGTTTTGCCTGAAACCTTTCTATCGCTTTTGAGTTTATTGTCATTAATACCTCCTTTAGTTAAAATTTCTCCTTTGAATGTGTCATTCATCGGTTTGTCATCAGAGTTGTATTTTTCCTTTTGTTTTAAAGGATTTGCATATTTATACGTCGAGTTATCAGGTACTTCTATTACATTTGCAACTTTTCCAATAGTATCGTTTGTCGTGTTTAATAAACTTGAGTTAATATTTGTAAATATCGCTTTTGTGTAAAGTTCGTCAGATGGTACCCGGCCGTTTTTAACATCTTCATTCTTTCCTGCAGAATTGCGCACCTGAAACAGCATTGAGTTAGAATTTTCAATCAAACTTGTAATGCTCAGTTTTACAAATTTCTTTGTAATTTATAGAGCAGATTAATTGATCCAAATTAGCCAAACTGTTCTAAAAATTTTATTTCATCTTAGAGCATTTGAAAAATCAGTAACTATTCAAAATAATTATGGCACATACTAGTTACTACTTTATATTTTGATTCTTACAATTAACTGTACAATTATTTTTTAATAAATAATTTATGTGCTGTCTGTACACATGATAATATAATACATATTTGTGCATATATGATTTTGTCTCCAAGTGACACTATGGCCAGCATTACATACGGACACAGGTTAAGAAAAACCAGCCAACTCTTCCACTCAATATGAAAGATATTGGCTCTCAGGATGGAAAAATGTAGATAAGGCTTGGGTAGTAGACTTAGGATGGATCGAAAGCTTGATGTGCAACTTTGAGAAGCAGGATTGATGAGTTCGTTGACAATAAGGAAAGTTGAGGTTGTTCTTGATAGTGATGTTGGTGACATAAGAAGCTTTAAAAATTTGTCTGAGTGCTTTTGGTTGGAAGGATTGAATGCACTGGATTTTGGATATATGTATGTTCAGATTCGTCGCAGAAATGTCTTCTATAGAATTAGTTCAGTTTTGGCAGTCTAATCAGATCTTGGTCTAAAAGTTTTCAATTAATTTATCTCTTACGTCAGTATTGCAAGTAAGACTACGGTTCTGATTTGAATACAAGTCTGTTAATTCTTGCTGTTGATGTCGATGATGTCATTACACTGTTTTTTCAGTGTAAATGTACACTGTATACATTTTTCCTTGTTCAGGAATTGGTAAGAAGCAATGATTCTATTTGAATTTAGGGTGTGCATTAAAAGTTTTAAAAAGGATCTTCGAGGATTTCAGTCACCACAGGAAAAAGGGTGTTGGGGTCTGGAAGATAAAATAAGAAAGGCCTGTGAGTGTTATGAATTAGAATGACTACACAACACTTTCATAAGAGAGGAAAATGGCTGGTTATTTAATTTAGATCCAATTTATCTATTGATTTCTTTTCATTCTTAATTAATGATGAATTTACAATAAGTAAGTTTTAAAATAATTAAGAAAAAATAATTATTTTAATGAAAAACATTAAATATATGAACTTTACAATTTTTTTGTCAAAATCTGATATAGATTTAAATATTTTACAATACTGTTATAAACAAGCACAAAACTAATAAGTGATTTAAGACTTACCAAACCCATAAAGCCAGGTGAACTTGAGGATATTTCCTTCTGGAAGCAAACTAACTTCTACGCAAATTGGCAAAATATTTATCTACAAATTACTACGTGTGGTAAAGTGGTTTTTTTGTGCTATCCAAAACACTACTTGAATATATTGAGCAGTTTATTTCATGCAATTCACAGACAAAAACATTACAATGTAAAAAATGTAAATAGTTATAAATTATCAAATTTGATTTAAATAAATTCACAACCTTATTAGTATGGCAGTTTTAGAAACATGGTAACTTTTATTATGGTAATCTTTTATAAGTAATGACTGAAATTCTTTAATATCAATTTTTTTCTGATGGTAACTATTTGTTCAATATGAAAAATAATGAAATAAATTAAACTACCTTGTAAGGTCACTGTAGTATATCAATTTGTTTATAAAAACAGTAATTTAAATATAAATTATGTCACTTACATTCTAAATACAAAAATTATTATGAAAAATGTATGTACAATGAGGATAATGATGGCACAATAAATTGTTTTGTCCACAAACACTCGAAGAAAAAAAATTGTTTGCTTTAATTATAATACAATTTTAGGTAAATACCATTGATTTACACGTTTGATTACACTGTTTACTATATACAGCGCAATTTTTGATTTTTAAATTTTCTGTACAATCTTTTATGGTGCGATAACTTTTTGGAAAAAGCAAAGTTCACGCCGTTTCAAACTTGTTATGTACACTGATAACAACAAAGTTTATACAATCCAATCACTAAAATGTGTTATTTATAAAAATAATTATGCCACTTTTGTCTCTAAATGAATTACAAAGGGATGTTTTCTTCCTCGTTTTTCAATATTTACATCCAATAGTCAGACTAAATTATATGTGTTTACTTTCCGAGGATGTAAGTGTGACTTACATCTTGATTAACATCATAATCAGCCCATTTAGTGAGGTCTATTGTAGGAAGGATTCCACTTCTGCACGGCACTCTAGGATTGCTAAAAAAATCAATGGCATATTTTAATATTGAAAAAACAAGTCACTAACATTGAACTTACATTTCGTAGTCTGGAAGCACCATGGGATAAACTTGAATAGTATCGATGAGGTCAGTATTGTCACAGATTATCTTTGATAGCTTGGTCTTCCTGATTTCTTGCAGTTGTTCTGAAAAGATAATATTCACAATCAACTGAAAAAAACGAGAATAGCGGAAAAGAAGAATCTTTACCAGGTGTAAATGATGACGGCTGGTTTGGTAATTCATACCAGAATCGGTCTCCTCTCCTAAGGTAGCTCATCTGTGTGGCAATTATGCAAGCAAAAGTTGGCCCAATCATGCTGCCAGGTAGTGGCTTTTCAGACACACCTCCTGACCACAAATCGACATCCATTGTGTGCTGGAATATCTGCATGTACCTCTGAACTGTTGTGTTTGGCATAGTTCCGAATAAATCAAGAAAATCTTCTGATACAGGAAGCCCGCAGAATTTTCTGATAAAACATAAAATTTGTCATATATTATTTGTTTTATTTAGTTATTTTTTAAATTAATATACAACTGTAAATTTGTGCATTGTTGTCGTTTCTAATAAGTAGAAAACAACTTACAAAGGGACGACCTGTTGGAATGTTATGGATCTGGACCAAATTTTTTTTGGTGATTCTACACTCCAAAATGTCGGACACATATCTGCCACTTCTTGAGAATAGGCCCTGGTTTTGCAAAAAAAACTTTTGAAATTTTCTATTTTTAATATTTATATTTCGCCGTTCTACTTGCTGAAATCAACTATATGAATGTATAATTTTATAGCATTTGTTATCTCAACTGCAATAAAAAAACTTTTGAAATTTTCCGTTTTTAATATTTGTATTTCGCCGTTCTACTTGCTCAAATAACTATATGAATAAATCATTTTACAATATTTTTATGTAAATTGCAATAAAAAAACTTTTCAAAATTTCCGTTTTTAATATTTATATTTTACCGTTCTACTTGCTGTAATCAAATATATGAATGTATCATTTTACAGCATTTTTTTGTAAATTGCAATAAAAATATAGTAAAATCTATCCAAGTTTATCAATAACCGAAAATTTTTTAAAAACCAAATATTTTTCAGGTAAAATAGGTCATAAATTTTTCGTTGAAACTAATATGAAATTTCTTTTAGCACTTCTGGAGACTCTTAAATATAAAGTTTTGTTTGAATTTAAATTTCTCGATTTTTTGACATCTAAAATTTCTCCAATTTTTAAGAAATCGTTATCAGAATATCTGATTGAAACGGCTGTAATCCAAAAACGGCTAAAACGTTTTTAGGGACAACATTCCATTTAAAAGAAGAGGAATGTAGCTTTTTAACGTAAAAGTATGTAACATAAAAGTATAGAAAAGATTTCTATAAGAAAATACGCAATATAGGCAATTTATTTGTCAGAATTAACTTCGTTTTCTTTTGTTTTTTAAATGGTAATAATAGGACGATTTTAATGTTTGATGCAGTTATAAAACGCATTTGACAATTTCTTTAAAACGAATTATCAACCAAATTAATAAAACTTACAAGCGTCAAATAAATGTAATTAAAAGTGCATAAATTGGTATTTATAGATTAAAAAATATTATTTTTGGTGTTATAATTTCATTATTGGTTAACATAAAAACAAGAATGTTCTACGATGTAGCATATTCTAATTTGGTATGATTTGAAAACATAAATCAACAAAATACTGCTCTTTTGATATTTTAACAAACATTCTGCAAGCAAAATAGGTCAGAAAATGATCAAAACTTAGATTTCGCCTCATCGCCGTAATTCTAACATTATAATTTTTTATTCATAAATTGACTGAAGATATTCCAATAACGACTAAAAATTCGTAAAATTTTAGATATCTCAAAATCTGTAAATTTAAAAAAAATATTTAGGGGTCTTTAGAGTTGCTAAAACGAACATTTCATATTAATTTCAAAAAAATTTATGACCTTGTTTACATGAAAAATATTTAGTTTTTAGAAATTTTTTGGTAATTGATAAATTTGGATAGCTTTTATTATATTTTTTTATTGGAATTTACATAAAAATTATTTTTTTACACTCTCGACGCGACACGCAAGAATGGCACAATTACACAGAAGACAAACACTTTGAGCCCTGAAGATGATCTCAATAAAGATCGAAACGTTGGCACGATAAAGAAAATGTTTTTCTGAAACCTACATCACACCACACCCTCACACTCACAATAAATAAAAATTATTATAAAATTATATATTCACATAGCTGATTTGGGAAAGAAGAACGGCGAGATGAAAATAATAAAAAACGGAAAATTTCAACTTTCAAAAAATTGTTTTTGGTAAAACCAGCGCCTATTCACAAGAAGTGCAGATAATTGACCGATATTTTGAAGTGGAGTATCATAAAAAATAGTTTGGCCCGAATCCGTGGCACACCAATCTGGTCTTCCCCTGGTTAGTATTAGTGGTGCCATCTCTTGAAGCCTAATAGCAATTTATTTGATTTTGTCTTACCTAAACTGCATGTATCCTGGAACTCCAAATTCCCTTCCTCTTTGCATGTTGAATGCGACAAGATCAAGTCCAAATCTAGCTCCTTGTTTTTTAAATAAATGGTTGGTCACCTAGAAATACAATCGTAAGTGAAAACATCTGGGAAGCACACAAATAGATTTATAAATTACCTCTTGTGTGATGGAATCGTCCATGGCTTGGGCGACTTGATTCATCAATCCCATTAAATATTCATCCATGACACCAGCACGATACAGATCATACGGCCTGCGAATTAATTCTGACAACCTTTTGGAAGCTGTATGGAAAAAAAGTTCAGAGAGTGACCAGAAAATAAATACCACCCATCTTCCATGACAGTTCCATGCGATTAAAAAGATGAATTTTGACGAGTTTTGAAACAAAATGAATACATATGATGACTGAAAAGTGATACTTTAAAAAAACTGTTATTACCAATAAATTTATGCGCCTTGCTCCATCTCTCAACTGCTGTTGGAAGGAGTGAATGACCGAAACGGAAAGCTGCAGCACTAAATGCATCAATAATGTTAGGATTTACAGTCGGATCATATCCATCCCAATATCCCTGGAAATTAATAGAGAATGGTTAGTGTAAGTATTGAAGTGTAATTTAAAGAATAAATTACTTCTTTCTCAGTAATGAGACCAAATTTTTCCATGACTTCCTTTCCAAGGATGATAGGTAAAAATTCATTGTAGGTAATATGCTGGATTTGGGCGATAACTATTCTTCTGGCTTCCTAAATTAATCATAAAATAAAAAAAAGTAAGTTGCCTTTTAATTTGTAACATAAGCATAATTTATTAATAAAACACACTTGATAGAGAGTTTCGTCATCCCAGTGGGGATTTATTTTAGCCAATTCACGAGCAAGCCGGTTGTGCTCTCTTGCCATAAGTGTATGCATGCATGCAAGAACAAGCTGTTCATTAACACGAATTTCCCCTGAAAATTGTCATATATCACATAGACCTTTGTTTTATGGTACTTACTGTATAAAGTTCTAGTAGTCACATACCTGCTTCAAAACAGTATTCTGTGCTGTTGGCTCTAGTACAGCCTTCATCTGGATAATCGAGTTTAAGAGGAAGCAAATCTTTTAGCCCGAATTCAGAAAATACAGGGTTCATCCTGAGCAGACCGGAGTATCCAGAACGGAGGTAGCGTCCAAATTCTTCAGTTACACCGTACACAGTGTTTCCATCGATGACGCCAGTCAGTGTGTTAAAGGGGGTTCTTGAGCCTAAAACATTTGGAAATTTGTGTAGATATTAGTGACCGTTAATCGATAGTTATTCAGATATCGTGAGAGGCGGTCGGGTGTGATGTAGGTTTCAGAAAAACATTTTCTTTATCGTGCCAACGTTTCGATCTTTTATTGAGATCATCTTCAGGTCTCAAAGTGTTTGTCTTCTGTGTAATTGGGCCATCCTTGCGTGTCGTGTCGAGAGTGCCCATCCTACTGCGAAAAGAGGTTCACATCATCCGAAGAGTTGCTCACACACCTCAGGAGCCATACGGCGGACACCTCTCTGCTGAATCGTCTGCGTTACCCCAACCCTCCGCTCAGCCCGCTCTCCGCAGCTCGATATCACCGGTACGGCAAACCGGAGCCCTGCCGACATCACTCCAGTCGCCGTTCAGTACTTTCAACCCGACCATCGCACCGTACTATTCGCCTTACCTGTACGGCCAAAGGATAGGAGCGGCCGTTCACCCCTGATCTTCTCCCCGTAAAACCCCCCCTGTGTTATCAGTGCAAAAGTGACTACCCCTTAGTGCGTCTGTCTCTATGTGTGCTCTTCATTCGTCCAATTTTGACAAACAATTAAATTTAAAAAAAATTTAATCCTTATTTGTCGTTTTGTAAATATTGAAAAATGGGATAAAAAGAGTGTCCTCTTCCTTTATTTTTTCTTTTTTTTTAGTTATATTATTTTGTTTCGCTTAATAAATGGATTAATGTTTTTAGAAAACAAACAAAATAAAAAAGAGGGCACTCTCAAAACTACACGCAAGGATGGAACAATTACACAGAAGACAAACACTTTGAGCACTGAAGATGATCTCAATAAAAGATCGAAACGTTGGCACAATAAAGAAAATCTTTTTCTGAAACCTACATCACACCCGACCGCACTCACGATATCTGAATAACTAAACATTTGGAAATTTATTGTTTCGATATACCAATCGTAAATTAGTAACGACTTACCAAGTCGGCATCCAGGTCGGGGAGCAGGGAAGGACCTCACAAAATCTTGACATTTGACGTTAAACTTATTATAGAAGTAATCGTCTTCCGGAATAACAATGTCCATGCAGTAAGGGTGTTTAAGATGAGGTGGCCTGTTGCAGCATTCCTCGGGTTCATTTTTACTAAATCGATCTGAAATTAGGTTAAAATTTATCGGTTAGGATATTTAAAGGTCCCAAAATCAATCTGTTTTTATTAAAACGCGTTTATTCTTATAATGTCAATATAATTTTTTTTCGTACCCAACGGAGTGGCTGTGAGAGTGAAATCGTGATCCATAAACTGTCCCCAAGCAACTACCATGACGGTTCCCGCGTGATCGTGGAATCCTTCGTCAGGATGGATGGTCCTGGAAACAATACGAGGCAGAGGAAGCTGCGAACCGAGAACTGATTGCCTAGGGTGAGTCATCCAGTCGGCGAACTGTGGTGGCAACAGTCTGAAAAAAGTTAGTGAAGATATAAAAGATGAACTGTTATAGATCTAAAAGTCGACCAAAATTGACTCAGTTGGTTTTTTTTGGGTAAGTAAGATATGCATTTATTATGATGAAGCTGTTGAGCATTAAATGTGAGTTCGCTAAGTAATAAAAATGGTGTGCATATTTGTGGTGGCCAATGTTTGGTGGATCTGTTGTGTCTTTAACCCAATAGTTTTGTATTGTTTTAGCTATTGTACTTTTTGGTCTAGTCAGCAAGGGAACACAATGTTCTTTCTGAACTTTCTGGGGTTGATTTAATGCAATTCCCGCCAGTCTTTTTGTTTCAGGGCCGATTGAATAAATTACCTCGTTGAAGAAATTAAGAGCGACAAATATTAACGACCCGCGGTTTGGAAATGGCAGGTTTTATCCGGTGCAAATCATCTTGCAGGACCTGTTTTCCGATAGCCTCGTGGTAAAAATGTATAGAAAAAAAGCCACTCACCGTCACTCCCGTCGTCCGAAGTAATCAATAAAATTGGTAAGAACTGGTCAAGAACGGGAGGATATCCATTATGGCCTCCATTGGATGTCCCTTTTGACTGAAGTAAATTAATTAAAGGGATTTTTGTACTGCGATCTTATCAAAAGTGAATAATATATGAGAGGAACAGCTTAATGTTTAGAGGCTACTATAGAATAATCTGGCCAATTACAGTTAACATTTATACTGCAGGACGTGAATTTACTAAGCTACGATTTTTTTTAAGAGCTTGCCTATCAAGGCCCTGATGTTAGGCTTGCCACATGACAACGAAATGAGAAAGTCTGTTATTTTAAAACGCACAAACGTAATAAACGAAATTTTAACTTGACTGACGAATCAGTAGAGACCAAGGTAGTTGGACTACCCTAAAACTATCCACATTATTTTCGAAGATTGAGGATAGTCATTTCACTCTTAAAGTGAGATAAATCCAAATTTGAAGATCTGGCTAGGGTGACAAGAAAATTATTTATATTTTTTGCTTTTGCCGACGAAAACATTTTAGCTAAATTTGCTGGTAGAAAACTTTATTATTATTACGGGTTCATCTAGCCATGATCACTTGGTGTTTATGATTCGCTTTTCCAAGTCCATCTGAAATACATTGCTTTATTCGCCAAATTCACCCAACGTTAACTTTACCTTTAACTATAATTAAACTTTTTTATGATCTATGTTGCTTTTTGTTTTAACTAAAACACCAATTACTTTTTAGGACATAATTTCAATTCAGTATGCATTTCGGAACACATTGCCCCCTCATTTTGAGCTAAATATAACTCAAAACCTAATAACCTAGATTATAACAAACCTTACTACCAAATTATATTATAAAAACAATATGATTAATCTGCTTTAGTTCACATTAACATTTTTTAACTTCAATTTAATTTTTTCAATTTCAAATTAAAATACCACTCTGATACCACTGTTTAAGAAATGCAATATTCTACCCATTATCTTTTTGTGCTGAGGACGCTTCGGGAGTTGTTCTGGCCTAGATGGACTGTATTTTTCGGTGTTCTCGCGGGGGGTTGGAAAATAATAAAATCTATAAATTTAATTAAAGTTGTAACGAGGCTTTCCCACTCACCTCAGGTTGAAGCTTCCTTCTGCGAACGAGGTAAGGAGGGAAAACTGGAGGGTAAGAAAATCGGCTGGGAAAAGGACAATGGACAACCCTTACCTGGGCTTCTAGGTGTTACCTCAACCTTTGGCCACAACGATCGGCAGGCACAGTAAGAGAAATCCCGGTGGTTCGAACAAACAGCCAAAAAAAAGGAAGTAGCGTGCGAAAATAGCGAATCACAGTGAGCACTAACGAACGTTTTTAAAATGGGGGAAACAATCGGCGCAACGGATCAAATAAGAGATACATATGTATAAATATTTTTTCTTCTTTTTTTCTGTTTTTCTTCTTTATTCTTTTATGCACANTATACATATTATAATATCCCCCCTTTAATTAATAATGAATTGTAATTTTTTTAATGTTTATTAAGCGCATTATTTTGTAAAAGAATTAAAAATGTACACCTTCATATGACAATAAAAATGGGGATAAAATTGCAACCCATTCCTTAAAACAATAAACACATTAAAAACAATGCCCTTATTCGTATGCTATCCTAGAGAGTGAGATTAGACTTTTTCGGCTCATGGGGAAAAAACCTAAGGAAGAGAAACTAAGCTCTCCTTGTGTATTCCAGCTTGTGTTAATTTTTTTGGCCATTATATAAAAGAATAATTCCTTAATTTAATGTTGAAATTAATTCAGGTTTTTAGTTGATATAAAAAAGTCAGTGTCACGAGCGGGATTGGAACCCACGATCTTCGGCTAGATACGCCGCTGCTCTACCACTTGAACTGTCGTGGCCTCGATCCACTCGGACACTAACTTTTTTATCTCAACTAAAAACCTTAATTAATTGAAAGATATTAGTTGGTCAAGCGTACGACGAAAACTAGTGAATTTAATATTTAAATTTATATAATTTTTAATTTTAATCTTAATTCACGATTTCATAACTTTTTCCGTCAAATAAACTGTTTAATGTAAAATTAAAACTTATTTAATTTCAAATTAATTTGAAGTTAAGAAAGCAAATCTAAAAAAGGGTTTATTTACGTAAAAAGCTGTAACACTATTTCGTTTAAAAAGCAGATATTCTCATCCAGCAAAGTTGTATTAGTTGTGTACGCACCACCTTCGCTTTGTCTAGAATGTTTTCACCTGGTGAACGGAGTGTTGGTTGCACCCCATGTGGGATTTTCAAAATTGTTGCAGAGTCCGTCGTGTCTCCTGTACTTGCCGGCGTGGCACTGGACATCGGCAAGGTAAGACGGGCAGACTTCACGTATCAAAGTCTTGGATGTGTCGATCAAGGGCAGCCCCTTTTCGATGTCGTCCAGGCTCATTCCGTACCTGCAAACAAGCAAACACGTCAGATCGAAAGGAAATAAACTGATCATAAATCAATCGAGGAGGCGTGACCCCTTTCAACGCAGCCCCGGGCTTCCATCTCGTGTAATTGCGCACCTCGCTCCTCATAAATCACGGTATTTAATGACGGATTAAACTTCATGTTAACTGGCATTTCAGAACTATAACCGATTACGTGCCTTGTGTCTACAAATTGGCAATGTTCAAATTACATGGGTTTTTCGTTTCACGATAGCAGTTTGATCGAAATCTGACCATGCTTCTAATCTTGTCACATATTTGATTATTTCTTTACATTTACCATTTATAAAATCGATTGATCATATTCTAATAAAAATAACGTTTAAAGTAGAGGTATAGATCACTTTTTAACTCACGAATAATCGAGATCTTGGAATGGATTGGATGTAGAAACAAATTCAATTTTTACTATTATACGTTCGACCTATTTTTAGTTCATCATCAGGGCAAAACCATCTTAAGTATGTCTATACATTGCCATAATGTATAAGCACCAACAACTGACTGTGACAATCCTGCATTACAGTCATTGGCAATGTTGTGATTGAGTTGGTCTTCAACGAAATTTGAAACCATCTATTAAAAAATTAATTATGTCAAAGTGTACATATTAAGATTGTTTTTTTCTGATCAGGGCTTCAAAACAGATCGAAAGCTTGGCAGTAGCAATTGAATTTGTTTCTTCATCCAGGCTATATCCACAGATCCAGATTATTCGTGAATAAAAATAATGCAATTGAAAAATGAATAAAAATGCAAAAAAAGTTAGTTTGGTTCGTGACACGTATTTTTATGTAAGTACTTTTTGGTTTTCTTACAAGAAAAACCTTGTTTCACTCCTTAATTAATTGGATGTTCAGTTTCACCATCGTCCCCTTTTCACACTACACACCACGCATATAACGCACTCAATCTCAGTACACACATACCGCTTTCGACCTTTATCCCAACAATTTAGGTTTACAATTAGGCATAGAATACATCAATAAATCAAAAGTCAACTTACTTTTATAGTAACCAAATTGATTTATGGCAATGTAACATGTAAGTTAACTTTTCATAATTTATTCATCTATTGTAAGCCTGAATTGTTGTAATTGTCTGTCGATCCGTGAAGAAGGCTGTAACAAGGTTCGAAAGCTTGGCGTGAAGTTACAATACTTTGTGACCGCATCCCTGATCCGCAACAAATTGCTGAACCAAGGAATGACACCCTTCAATGAAATAGAGCCTAAACCTTCCTTTACATGCCTGCCACATATGCGGGCTTTTGCAACCTATTATCGCTTATTCTTAGTCGGGCGAGTATGTTTCTTCTTCTTAGTCAGATCGAATTTTTCGATTTTAATTATGTTTTTATATATGTGATTAGTGACCGTTAGTGGATGATTATTGGGAAATGGTGAGATGCGGTCTGGTGTGATGTAGGTGAGGGCACTCTCAACACGACACGCAAGAATGGTACAATTACGCAACAAACACTTTGAGCCCTGAAGATAATCTCAATAAAGATCGAAACGTTGGCACGATAAAGAAAATGTTTTTCTGAAACCTACATCACACCAGACCGCATCTCACGATTTCCGAATAATCATCGTTTTTTATATAATTTTGGTGCCAGAGAGTCGGATCGTCCTGGCCTTAGCCGCCTTACTTCGTTATCTTTCAGATCTGCGTCTAGAGACTCAGATTTTTCCGAATTACTCCAGTTTATGGTATGTCTTCAACACGAGGACGACGAAAAGTTCGAGGGAGGACATCTCATTACTCAGGCAGTCGGTGCTGGAAAGTAGAGGTAGGTAAAGCCCCCCCGATCGTCTTAATAACCGCCCTTCAACTCAATTTAGCCTTTTGCCATTAAATTAAACCATTTTTCAAATTTTCTTGTAAAATAGGTTCTTTTGGTGTTTTCGTAATAAAACTAATAATGTACTCTGTTTATCCCTGCTGCTTTGTGAAAAAAATGTCACAGGTCAAACACCGACCAAGGTGATCGAAAAGAACCCAACAACAGGTTCATCACCTTGCAGATCCCAATAAGAACTCTTACAAAAAAAAAGTTTTCAATGGAGAAACAACTCTTTAAACATGGACAACATTGGTGAAAAACTCGATCCAGTTTTATGATATATTAAGCAAGGATAATCATTTTTTTAGGCCAATGCAAAGAAAGCAGACAAACCGGATAAAGGACGAAATCAGAACAGTCAAGATTTTTAAAATGAAATTAAGATGATTCAAGTTGAAATAAAATATTGACTGTTAAATCATGAATATTAAAAATAGAGGGATTATTAAAAATAGTAAGATTTGCTAGTTTTACTTTGGGTTTTTGTTGACAGACAATCTAGCATCAGTCCGTATAACCTCGCTGATTGTATCAGTTAACATTACGACATATTTTGAACATAAGTGACCGACCAGCAAATTGAGCATTGTATTTTCAACTGAGCAGTTCATCTGCTTCCACGGCCTGCCATTCGAACGACATCGCTCATACAACGATCCCATAACGATTTTGCCCCGAAAGTTCAATACGTGCTCAGGGTGGTGCCAGGGCGTGGTTTTGCCATGCTTGCCCAATGGCCATATATAAAGTGGGTCTAGTTAAGCAAGGAGGGCCGCACCCCGGGAACGTCCTCGGCACATGTGGGCCACTGCTTATCGGTCCTTACAAGAGTTCTTTCTTAAAGATTGAGCTGATACGTGAATTTATATCAGTTTGTAAAGAACATAAAATAAACCTCTAGGCCCGAAGGTAAGAAGGTTATTAAGTCAGAATCGGAAATACTGAGATTCAGACGTCAGCGTTGAATTATGAAGTGAAAACGACTACAAACGTTGAATTACACACTTTTAAAAATAATTTATAAATATTTTATCAAACAAAACGAAAAAGTGTTATACTTTACTCTCGACTTAGCATCTTCATGAACAAATTTTTACCCGACTTCTTCACCATCTTTCATATATAGAGAAATTTTATATAATAGTAAATATTATATAATAGTAATTACTTAGCCAATATTAATAGTAAAACTTGAAATATAAATTTAATTTTCAACTTTATCATAAAATTCCCTATCTTAATAAAGCTTTATAAACATTTTAACATTGCGCCAATGCTGGCTTTTTAATTCCTCCTTCGCGATAGTAATTTAAAAATTTTAATTTTTCTGTATGTTTAGTCGAACAGTAATTTAACAAAATCTTCGTGATTGTATGTTTTTACTATGCAATTTGTATGTTAGTTACTATTAAAGTCACATAGTTTGGTTAACAAAAGACTTTTAATAAACAATAAATATGAAAATTGCTTTAGTTCCAGTGTAACATGCATGTGGTTTCAGAAAGTTCCAGTTTATTTTATATACATTACATATATCAAATCCACTGTCATAAAATCTTGTGCAGAACCGTAATGATTACAAAATATGGTCATAAAACAAAAAAGGTAATGCAGAGTTGTGACTATGGGACTAGTTAAAAAAAAGTTATTCAAGTATTTATACAATACGCGCTGCACCAGTGACATGATTTATGTGTCAAAAGGCCGAACACGCGATACTGCTAGCTGTCGGAATACATTTTACCTTTTCCGTTCAAAACCCCGTCGTGAAATAAAATTCCGAGATGACATTTTGGGAGGAATAGTACAGGCCTTTCTTTTAGAAATACTACGGAGATAGGATCTGGAAGTAGAAATGTAGTTTCGATTGAGATTTTTCAGGGAATATCTCACTTTCACACAAAACTGGAAACGGCCCGAATCCCCAGTCATAACTTTGTCAACCGGCAAGTCGGATGAAAAGGGAAAGAACGAGCTTCGGTTTTCTTTTCCCTCTGAAATACCAACTTTCTTTATTGTCTTCTCGTTCAACGTTTCTCGTTTGTCTTTGCGTTTATACATAATATACAGAAACATGATGCTAACGCCCTATTTGAAATTCCTTTATGCAAATGTGGGACAATAATTCATACTATTACTGAATGAAGTATGTGCCCAATTAGATATAGATAATTTTAGTTCAAAAGCGAGAATATTAGATATTTCAAGATGAAAATATTACAATGCAACTCCTAACAAAGTTTAGGTTGTGAACATTTAGGTGAATAGCATAGCGTAAAACAGTGAACAAGATCATTAAAATTGGTAAGACTTGAACTATTTTGTTGAACGTTTTATTCAGGCAAGTTAAATTTTCGAGAAGAGAGTTAAAATGTGTCAAAAAGTTATGTCAAATGGTTTTGAAAAACGAAAAACTTTTAAAATTTAAAGAAACACAATTTTTCCTTTTTATCAGTAGTTTCTAACCAGTGACTAAGCAATTTACTCATAATAAGATTTGAATAAGTTGGCAATCGAAAAATAAATAATTATCAAATTTTTAATTATTTTTAAGAGTGACTCAGAACATGATGGTTAAAAAAATTCGTTTGTTTATAAGGATAAATTAAACAAATAACAGCTCTGTTCAGTGATGAAAATGCCTTATTATATCAGTTGGTTTAAATTACAATTAATTTATTAACTCAAGAAACAAACAAACCATGTCTAATAAGAGTCAATGGTGAGTACAAAAGGACCCAAGTTTTATCGGGTTTCACCATTTTATGGAGTTTTTCCAGCCAAAGTTGTAAAAACTATAGAATAGTGAAACGTGAGATAATTGAAATTTTAAACCAGCAACAAAACATTTTAGTCTGGCGTAATATCAAAAACTTTGGTGACAACTTATATGCGTGAGTATGAGTGTGTATAAACACGTTGTGTGTGGAATATCAAATTTCCACAGACCTGTCGAACCAATTAGGCTAACTTAGGATATTGATTACGTGATGTTTACTGTCTGTGAATGTATTTATTGGCGTGAATGAAGGGAGGGCATCAATGTGAAAACAGCCTTGCATGACTCCAACCAAAGGTAAGTTAGGTCGCACGTTATTTTAGCGTAGTTGTT